AGGAGGAGGAGGAGGAGGAGGAGGAGGAGGAGGAGGAGTCTGAGATAACCCAATAACATGGCCCCGCGATGCAACCCCGTACATAAGCGCCGACGCCTCTCTTTGCCCAAGCCAAGTCAGACTTTAGTCCCTGGCCAGCCCTGCAACCATCCAATACAGGCCGCTCCACCGAGGCTCATCCCTGTCCGTGTTTCAACCGAGCACCATGAAGGGGAAGACGGAACTAGTATGCAGGTTGCCGGGAGGTCTTGTCTCCCCTCTCTGAACGAGAGGGTGTGCAAGACCCACTGGGCGCTGCTGACAATGCATATGTTTTTGGTCATGTGTTTAGCTAGCCTTTTTGAGAGCTCGTATTGAAAGGCCTGGATGCAATTCTGATGAGGTCATTGGGATCGAAAGCTGTTTCCTTGGATGTCTGGGGTCTGATGCGACATCCTCTCCTGTCTCAATTTGTCTCGATTCGGAAGCTGGTGATACTCTCGGGCCCAACACTGGCCAGAACACGGCCTCGTAAAACTCGGATCTCTTTGGTGCCACTTCCAAAGATGGTTCGCTGCATATATGCTGATTGTCTTGGGAGCAGGATCCTGCTCAGAGTTCGAGCCGAGACAGATAGTATAGGGGGTCGTGCTGCTTGACTGTTGCGTCGAGGGAAGGCCATGGTAATTTCATTCATGATGGCACGATTCGATCTCGACAAACATGAGTGATCAGATTTTGAGTTTTGCCAACTAGAGATGGCTACACAGGAGGACTGCCTCGCTCGTGATTGAACCGTGTCTCGGCGAGTAAGCCTGATGTCAGCACCTAATTACTACAGGGAAAGACAAGCCGTGCGAATTGAATATCGGGGAAGATGGATAGCATGTGTGAGTACCTGGTCGTATGCCGTGATGGGTAGGGTCAAACCAGACACACTCAGGTTGGAATCACATACTGTATAGAGCAGCTCACCAGATCCATGTATGCACGTAATTGCTTGCCGCAACTGGTTTGACGAGATGACTCTAGCGAGTGAGTTGTATTGACCCTCATCTGAATGTCTCGCTTACTGACCGAGACTCTCGATCCAGTCATAATTTCGATGGCAGCTTCCTCAGAAATTTCGTGTGGAAAGGATGATGGATGGACTACAGTTAGAGAACCTACATCTTTCTTGCCTCATTGAGAAAATCCGACTGAACCAAGACAGTCAAATCGGCGGTGTCTCGGGTCAAATAAAGAGCAAGAGATGCAACGGTATTTTCTTCATGGAGCATTAGGGCGCAATCATCTTTTTTGTTCTTTCGTTCATTTCTAAACGTCATATGGAACAGGAATTGATTCAAATCGAGCCTTGTACTGTTTCAACTCGGAATCTCGTCTCTTGGATGATCATTCCGTATAGATTCAATATCCATATACAAAGGTAGTTCAGAGGTAAGTCCACCTTACTAGAAGGAGTGTAAGCATGAACTGACCAGTCGATAATCTACGTAGCAAGAAGCACTAAGGACGAGTCACGAACCCCTCTCCACTTTGTCATTCGAGGTTCCAAGCAGACATCCAACCGATCACAGCCTGCATCATTTATCCAGCCTAACAACCAAAATTGGACCATACCTACCCCCAGCGCGCCGATTCCACGCCACCCACCTTTCAACGACCGCCTACACCTACAATTACCATGCGCGAACAACCATAACACCCAACAAATCGCCCCTCTACATTATCGCTAACAATCACCAACCAGGCCACCCCGACTTCACCCTCCACTCAACCACTCATTCCCTTACCTTCCACCTCAATACCAGCCAGAACATCTCAAACGCAACCACCATCCTAGTAACGAAGCCACAACGCCCTCAGAGCCTCCATCTTGACCCTCTTCAGGACGAGCTGGAATCCATCGCCCGCACCTGGATAGCCGTGACCGACCCGCTCGAGCGCCTGAACTTTCTTGTCTACGACCATCTGCCTGAACAAAATGATACGGCTACGTCCAGCCCCCTGTCATCAACGGCAACCAGGATGGAGAAGGAGGCGGAGGGAAAAGAGGGAGAGCAATCGGCCTTGCAACCCTCGGCCGGACTAGCCCGCTCAACGACATTGCCGGCGATCGAGCAACGACTGGTCCGCACGCACAGGCCGCGGTAGCCGGGATCAAGGTGCAGCCGTTCGCCAGGGTAATGGAGGGCTGCGCGTGGTGATGGATGGACTACGGGTTCAGGGAGTCGGGGCTGGTGGAGGTTCGCGCGGGCTTTCAGTCACGAATCTTGCGAGAGAATTTGGTCGAGAGGCTCGGTGGGTTGGAGAGCTTGGTGGAGTGTCAGTATGGGGAAGGCGTCGGTTTGGGAATGATATGGAGTGGGGGGGAGAGTGGTTGGATTGAGGGCTGGGTTGTGCGTTTGGGGGAGAGAGACTTGAGATTGATGGGCCCAGGAAGACTATAAACGTAGCACTAGGAGGATCAGATGGAAGATTTCCCGCAAAGATTTCCTGGTTGACCGAATATTGGGTTTTGTATCAGCTGTTCGATATTTGAGGATTGGTTTGCTCGAGCTGCTGGACTAAAATTTGGTCTGATTTTTGGGGTTGTTCTTCTTCAGAACAACTTCCGATGACAATCTTGCAAATAAGGAGAGGTTATATTCTATCTCATTCTCTTTGAAGTCAGAGTAGTCCAAGATCCCTTCTACAATCAAGTTCACATAAATAATGAGAGATTCTACTTAAAATGTCACCGGCGTAAGACCCGGTTTTCTGCCTTAAAGTAAGGCAGTTTGTGGCCTGAGGCATCAAGAGAAAAGTGGGTCCAGGGCCTATAGGAAAGTTCGACTCCGCCATCTTCAACAACATGGCCGCGGTGGTGTAGTGGTATTAACATTGCAGAGCCCCCGGGGTCTTATACCTAGCGGGTGGAGTGCAGATTCTGGGTTCGAGTCCCAGTCGCGGCAATTTCTTTTTTTGTCTCGCTCGCTGCGAGGCGTGCGTCATCATGAGCTCGTCGGTTGTGAGGTTGTGATGAGAGCCGCCAAAAGTAGAAGAAGATCGGGCCCTGAAGGATGAACAAGGGGGTTTGAGTGCGCGGGGTGCTGGTGATCAGCATCTTATCTGTTGTTGGACTTGTCTCATCTTGATACCCACTTACGCTTTCCAAGGCTTGGACTTGGGTCCTTGTGGAGATCGATTTCCGGGTTCAGGTACTGCAGCGGTCTTTTCTCTCAGTAATGGCTCGAGAAAGTGCTCTGCTGTAACGAGAGAAATCTGGTTCATGGGACGAGACTCGGACCATGGAGTAGGAGACTCGCTGTTTTCAGACAGGCAGAGATAGTCAGAAGGTCGGTTTTGTGTGTACTGAGCTATATCTTGGCCCAGTCACCCTGTTATTCACGAAGTGAATCCATGATAGGCTTGGTATGCAGGCTGCAAGATTGGGAGCATAGACGAAGAGGCCACGAGAACCAATTGAATAGACTAGAGTACTAGTGATAATGCTTCCACCTTACACATCGCTCAGAAAGCACAGCTCCAACTAGTAATCCAGTCAGCAAACAGCACCAGCAAAGATACAACAACCTCGCACAAACCCAATTAAGAATTCAAACACAAGATGTTGTTTCCCAGTGCCAATTGGGTGGTCCATCCATATCCTCACCATGGCGATGATCGTCCAAACTCTTTTCTATAATCAAATTAAGATTTCCTCCCGATAGTACCCAAAAACCACAGCACGAACCCCTGCTCCACACAAACAATCGATCGTAAAAGCTAAGAGACATCGTAAAACAGAACCTCATTTTCGGACTGTAAATGTAAGCCTAGGGTGTGGCATATGTTGAGTTGATAGTCAGAGTTCTCACGTCCGGTGCCAGTGATCACATGTTACCGAGTAGCTTCTATCAATGGGGACCATGGCTTTGGATTTGATGGTTAGTGAGCAGTTTGTGGACGTTGTTGGCATGAGCTACATTGCACCAGTGGGCGTTGGACTACGGGTTCGCAGATGGAGGCTGCATATTTTGGCATGAAGCAGGCGAGATCTGGCTGCTCAGCATGGCTAGAGAGAGGGTAGACAATCCATGACAGTGGTTAGATTCCAAATAACGACAATATGCTGGAATCTGGCGATGTAGTTGCTGCTTTGCCAGCACCAACTTAGCAGAATTGTATAAACCCTTGCAATGCACTCGCATAACCTCAGGTTTCAGGCTCACGTCCTATACCAGAATCCTGCTAACTTATCCTTCCCACGGACGTCAAGCGAGTCCACGTCGATCACCGAGGTAATAAAGCTAAGTGGAAGAAGCAGACCGTCTCAGAAGACCAAATAATTATTCTTTGTTTTCAATCTCCCACGCAATGAAATTGCTTCTCCGCGAAAAGCCCCCAAAATAGCCTTGGGAGCACTTACCACGAGAAGCATAGTTCCCTTCTGGTCAAACCACGGTCTCTGATGCGGGAGCGAATTTTCTCCCTGTGGTCCATATATGGAAGAGACCTCCGAAATACCCAAATAGACGATCAGGGTCGCCGTCAGGACGCATCAACCATGCAACCAAAATCAGAGGGCAAAGTCTAGACGAAACAAGCCAGACCATCCTGTTCATTTCACTGAAGGTTTGATAGGACCTTGGTTCCACCCCAGTGATGAGGTTGAACCAGGAGGAGCATCAGACATACACAAACATATAAGAAACTCCTGCAACCTGCAATCATCTCGAACTGACCCCTTCATTCGTTTGCTGCTGGCCATTCCTTAATAAACGCATTCCCTCGTTATGCGCTTCTCATCGACCATCTTGTCGGCCGTCGTGCTATCTGGCATTTCGTTGGCAACCTCCCCCCAGCCAACTTCAGCAGCCGTGGCTGCACAGCCGGATGCTCAGAGTGCAGACAATGCACCCGCGACTGCAGCAACTCCAGCAGCAGATACGGCAGAGATTAGACAGCAACCCAGTCTAGATGTGAGCACCAATCAGCATAATGCGGTTCCCATTGGCCAGCAGTCATCTTGGAATGCGGCCCAACAGCAACAGGCAGCTGCAAATAGTGTGTCACAACCGTCTACTGCAGCAGAAGCCCCTTCCACACAAAGCCAACATGGAGATCTCTTATCCGGGCTGGTTGGTGGCCTCCTTGGAGGTGGTCATAATTCCGGATCTGATGCGAAGGACGGCGCGGGATCAAAGCCATTGCCAACACAGAATTCGGGGTCCTCCACGAGCACGGCTCCTCAAAGCTCCGAGACGAAGAAGCCTGACCTCTTGAATGGCCTTTTCGGCCTGTTGAACCCGTCGCTACTCACGGATATCGAATCCTTCTTCCACCATTTCGCATACTTGTTTGACGACAAGACAACAAATCAGACAAAGTCCTTGCTTGACACTGCTTATAACTTGTTGACTCCTGAGTTGACAAGCGAGCTTCTTACTCTGTTGAACAATGCGAACCATCTGCTGACACCGAACTTTGTCAACGAGACTCAGCAATTAATCGCTTCGGTCGGCCCCCTTGTTACACCCCAGGTGTTCCACAAGGTCTCCGTTTTGCTCGATAATGGCAATGAACTCCTCACCGCAGAGTTTGTCAAGGAGGTTAATGGATTGATTGGTAATGCCAATCAGTTACTCACGGCCGATTTCGTCAAGGAAACCCGGCACTTGATCGAGGCTGTGTCGCCTGTGTTGACCCCCGAGCTGCTGAAGGAGGTCGGAATCCTGGTTAATAATGCCAATGGCCTTCTTACAGTCGAGTTTGTCAGAGAGACCAAGTCACTGATCAAGGCCGTGGCTCCTATCCTGTCTCCTGAATTGATTGGTGAAGTGGGCACTTTGCTCAGCAACGCTAATGGACTTTTGACCCCGAGATTCGTGAACGAGACGCAATCGTTGATTGAAACAGTTGGGCCAGCTCTCACACCAGAGCTTTTTCGAGAAGTCAACTCAGTCTTGGGCAACGCTAACACACTGTTGACAACGCAATTTGTCCATGAGGCCCAGAGCTTGATTCATAATGTTGCTCCTGTCCTGACGCCCGCTATTCTCGGAGAAGTTGCTGGCTTACTGAGCAACGCCAATGAACTTCTAACACCGACGTTCGTCAATGAGACTCAGGGTCTGATTGGAGCCGTAGCACCAGTCTTTACGCCTGCACGCCTCAAGGAAGTCGGCCAACTTTTGAATAGTGCCACCTCATTGTTGACCCCAGGTTTCGTTGACGAGACACAAGGCTTAGTTGGACACGCGAATGACTTGTTGACGACCGACTTCGTCAAGGAGACTCGCACCTTGATTGGAAACATCTCACCCGTGTTCACACCCCAGCTGCTCTCCGAAGTGGGAGGTCTGCTCAACAATGCCAACGCTTTGTTGACGCCGAAGTTTGTGAATGAGACCCAAGGTTTGATCGACGGAATCTTTCCGATCTTGTCTCCTGAGATGATCGGTCTAGTCGGCGGGCTCCTCGGCAATGCAAATAAGCTGTTGACCAGCAAATTTGTTGAGGAAACCCAAAGCTTGATCGACAACGTGTCACCTGCCGTCACACCTGCTCTGCTCGAAAAAGTGAACTTCGTCCTCGGCAACGCCACAAACTTGTTGACGCCCAAGTTTGTCAATGAAACGCGCGATCTGATTGACGACGTCTCCCCAATCCTGTCTCCAGAGTTGCTGGGTGAGGTTGGCGGTCTGCTTGGCCAGGCCAACAACCTATTGACACCGAAGTTTGTCAACGAAACACAAGTGCTCATTGAAGATGCTTCTGAGGTATGACCTTTGTAACATATGGAATTTGACTAAGTGCTAGAAACTGACATTGCATAGTTGCTTCCTGCTCTGGTCAAGGTGCTGGGCACCTTGTGAGCACTAATTAACGACGGAAACGGTTCACTGAACCGATAGCGAGTTTACTTAATGATGGTTAATCATGTGCTGTGTTGTAATTTCTTGTTAGTGGCGATTTGATTCGTTGATATGGTTGTGATACATGTCTTAATTGTAATTCGTGCGTCGCCGACGAGAAAGAAGCGTCTCAACCAATGCTATGCTCATCTTCCCGTAAAGTTGCCGCACCATTGACACAATTCTCAGCAGTTGGTAACGAGCTACCTCTTTCTCCCTTTGGAGGTGAGGAAGACTCAGTGAACTGGAAACCCCGAGCTATAACCGAGGTAGCAGCCGAAACAATGTCCGCTTCCGGTAAGGCCAAGTGAACACGGCCGAGCTGGGTAGCCGACGAACCCTTGAAGCAACGACATTCGTTGCCATGTAGTGGTTCGGAGTCCCAACAGGGGGGTGCGATACGGAATAAGGCTTCCCAGTCGCACCGCGCACGCAATGCATATGGCTTCCGACATTTGAGTTGAGCCGGGCTGTCTCTTGCAGGGCGCGAATTCCCCTTCTGCCTTCAAGCCATTCGTAGCGGCCGGACAGGCATTTTGTGTGACGGAATCGCTTTGAGTCCGTGCATGCCGTTCCTGCGGGGGGTCTATTTTCATGCCGGGTTGTCGGATGCCTTGACTTTCTGATACTTCGATAGGACCTTCATCTCCGTATTGCGCTCCTTGATCTTCTTGTCCATCGCTTTCTGAACTTCTTCGCGCTTTTTCTCAGCCTCTTCCATCTTCTGCTTGATTTCCTTGGCGACTTGTTCTTGCTCCTTCAGAGCGGTTTCGGGCGACGGGTACTCCTGGCGTAGTTGCTCGAGCTGCGCGCGCACATCATCCGCTTCTATCGGCGCACAAGTGACTGGATCGTACTGATATGGTTGTAAGGGTCCACCGGGAACACGGATGCTCGAGAGAAGTTCGTGGATAGGGGTCGTGCGAACCGGCGCGTCAAGCGGGACCAACTTGGCCGTTGGGGAGGAGAGTGCCAATTCAGAAGGCGGCGAAAGAGGAAGTTGTTGGTCCATTGAAGCGGCTGGCGGCGGCGGATTCATCTTGATTTGTTTGCAAGGGAATGGGAAAGCGTGTTCAAGAGTTTCAAATGAAATTGTGGAAAAGCGCACCACCAAGTCTTGCGACGCGATCGTTTCCTGCCTTCAGAGTTGTTGTAATGCTCATGCAATTTTGGTGTCCGGCGCAATTACTGCCAATTGGACGGTACACCGCCCAATGTATCCGGGGCGGTCAGTTCCTGCCGTCAGTATCGACTTCCTTGCCGCCTTAAACACGGAGGTGTAGTGTGGGGGCCAGAGAATCGGAGAGGGTCTCGACCGGCGACGCTTTCATGACAAGTGTGGATTGCTCTGGAAACAATCTGGTTATTTAAATGAAACGGAGTGGTTATAACAAGGTCATTCTTCCTGTAGGCCTTGAGCTTACCAGCTATGCAGGCCTTTGGTATGTCTTCTGCATCTCCGCCCGCGTCGTGCATATGACCCCTCTGGGTGCTGCTGTGACCTCATCTCTCCCCTGAACTCCTTGCACTGACTCGTGAGTGCAATATGCTAGTCCCGAAGAACCGGAGAGTAAGTCGGTTGTTTGTGTTTCATGCTTGAAGAGTATTGAGTGCGAACATCAGTTATAGCCTAAATTCGAATTGGTGTTGAGAGTAAGGATTTCCTCTTCAACATCCCCTATCGCAAGCGTGACTCGGAGCTGACAGCTGGTGCTTGCTTGGCTCAGATTATCGATCTCAACAATGTACCCCTCGTGAGCGGCACGGCATTCGTCAAGTGGCGCCTTCCTTCTGGAAGTGCGCCCGAAAACCATGGTCATACCGACAAAGCGGTCATCATAGACCATCGAGCGTATTGGAACTACGAGAAGGTCTTACAAGTCCGACTGACGATTGACCGGAGCCAGACGCTCCACGAGTGCGAATTATACTTTGAGATCATACAAGAGTTTGCGTCAGGGGGGAGCAATAATGAGAAGAGTCTGCTGGGAAAGATCAGACTCAATTTGTCTGAATATGTCGACAAGAGTGATGACGACGAGGGCATTGTCAGGCGCTACTTGATGCAGGACAGCAAAGTCAACAGTACGCTCAAAGTAGGAATCGCTCTACGCCAGGTTGAAGGGGATCGGAACTTTGTCACGTACGTCTTGCAGTCCCGTGGAGAGACGTTCTTGGTATGATGTGCTTACGACTGACTATTGGACCTCTTCTAGGCCACCTCTCAAATCGGCCATGGTTTTCGGTGGGATCGCAGGCGTTGTCTCCACCGAACAAGGCGAGCACGACGACCTTGGCAGACTACCGTCCATCAATTCCCAGAGTCGCGAGGTCACTGACATGCAGGACATGTACCGCCGCACCCTGGCTGCTTCCTGGAACTCGCGGGCCGATGACCTACCGGCGGACAAGCTGATTGAGGCATTGTTCTCTGGGAGCATCAGCTGGGCGGATAATCAACACTCACAGTCCGAAAACCCGACCGAACACCACTCCGACCGACTATCCCCATACAGTCGGACCGGCGCAAGACAAGCTTCGACGGAAAATCGTTTGTCGCCTAGTAGTTTCGAGAAGCGACCTCGGAGCTCATCTAGTAACCACTTCCGAAACGAACTAAAGGTGTCAGAGACAGCACCCAGGATGGACCATACCAGGAAAGACGGAAGCATTGAATCACAGCTTCACGACAATCCGAAAGGAAAGAGTTGGAAGAGTCGCAATGTCGACCACGAATTATCCGAGTTCGATGTGCGCGAGGACCTTCGAAGTTGGGAGATTACGAGCAAGGAGTGAGCTGTGGCGGTTGTAACAACATTAGATAGAACCGCGAACGATACCCTTGGTGATTATCAATTGTATATAGCTTCAATACCGACTATGAACCAGAATCAGTCGGTGGCTCGAGAACTGGTCAATAGGAGACTGGAATAGACTACTTATCTAGAAAAGTGGATGAGCCGGAGCCTCGGCTTCCAAATCTAGTCCGTATTAGGCTTAGCGCTGTCGGCGATTGCCTCCATTCTTTCTGAGCTTCAAGATTATTTTCAGATGGACGAGATTTCAGCCTCCGAGTTTGAGCGCGAAGACCTTTTTTCTCCCTATGATTTCCAGATCTTCGAAAGGGGTTGTGTCACTCCTGAACCAACCGCTGCGCCCACAATGCGGAACACGAATCGCTTCATTGCGCAGGCGCAATGTTATTGCTCGATGTGAATCCACCGCCACCACCGATTCCACCACCGATCCGGAGCCACGAAAACATTCGGACGATGCGGACGAGAAGAAGTGGTTCGATAAAACGGATGAGGATGAAGACGTATATATACGTCGTCGGCAAGGCCACATGAACCGCGTGCGTCGCATTTTGAACCAGCGCGATGAAGAGCAAAAGAGGCAAGAAAGGAAGAACAACTGGGCAGTACCAATTTCGGTGACCACTCTGGGAAACCCAGGTGAAGTCGTGGTTGTCAAGGACCGCAAGCGACGCCGAAGACGTCTTCCAAAGATTGAAACAAAAACAAGCGAAACCGAATCATCTCATTTCTTGTTGAAGGAATTGGAGAAGGACGCCGCATATGCCGATGAGGACCTTTATACGTCTCATATCGACGAACTACGCTCATCTTACCAACCACGAGCCAAATTGGCCTTGTCTGATTGGAAAGATCTTAGATTCAACCTCCACACGTCGTTCACGGCTGCGCAACTCCATGATTATATTAGACGAGCGAGCGAGGAAAAAGATCGAATCGCATCTCAGGGTGGCTCTGGAAACAAGGAATGGGTACCTGGAGTGGTGAATCTCATGGAGACAGAACCGAAAATTGCTTCTGATCGTACTGGAGCACTACAAGGATTGAAGGGAAAGCCCCTGCTAGCTGAGAGGATCCTCCGGGATTATTGGCATCTGAGTGTCGAAGGCGAGCTCGGCCAGCTTGATGTCCCTTTGCCTGACACTACGCTATCTTCGCTTCTGAATGCCCAGAACTTCTCATTCGAGGAGCTTGCTGTTTTACACGATGTCAAACTCGATCTCTCTCAGGTGCTGGGCGTCTTGAGGATTACCGGACGGCAGGAGGCTTGTGAATCGATCCGGGACATCGTTCGTGACGCCGCCTCCAGAATACGCGAAGAAGTCATCACATTGCCCGCAAACGAGAGCGACGTAACATCCAATGTTCGCGTCAAAAATCCCGACTTCTTGTCTTGGACGACCAAGACTTATGGAGCAACTTTCGACGAGACATCACGAGCTCCCAAGCGGATGTTCTATCTTGCAGAAAACAAGCAACACGCGGACGAGGCTCACAGGACGTTACAGCTCGCATGGCACAGCCAAAACAGGCCCCCTATCCCGTTCAGTACATACTTGCCCGCTGCTGAGACAGCCAACATCAACAATGTTGATCCTGAGCTCAACACGTCATGGTTTGATCGACGGCACTCGTGGTTCAGATGGGCTATACCACCTGAGGTTGGTCAGATTTTGACGACCAGCTCCCTGCTAGAAAGACGTCAATTCTTCAATAAGCACCAAAGCCGCCTATCGAACGTGCTTCTTAAGCTGCTTCGAAATTCGAACTTCAACAGAACTACTGACGCAGAGATTCCGACCGATGCCCGTGAATCCGTTACCGCGGCTGTTGGCAAATGTCTTTTCCTCCGCAAGCCTTCCCTTGACGAGACATTAGTCAGCGCTCCTCAACTTGGCAGAATGTCACTCCCACGCACATTTACCACAGATATACCTCGTGCGGCACCGTTTTTGAACACTCTGGTACCACGAAAGGCAGACGAGCAGCAGGCGCACCGTATCCGATTAGTCCCTTCAGCTCTCAATGCCCATGTCTTCCCACAGCTCGAGGTGGAAGTCACAACCAACAGCTCCAGGTCTCCGTTTTATACCGGTCCCGAATTTGCTCTGCAAAGTGCTAAGGTGGTCCTGTCCGAAAGTAAACTCGATTTCCTTCTTCCAGAGAATGGGCTCGATCTCCGGTTCAGCCGACGCCTTACCCACGAGCTGCCAATGGACTTTGACGCCAATCCCTCGCTCGGCGCACTCGAGGAAAGCCTGCGAGGAGTTTTCGCCCAGTCTCTCGAATCTAACAACAGCGAAGTGCCCCTTCCCACCTTCACCCAGATCTCCCTTCCCCGCAGCCTTCTGGGCAAGTCAGCCCAGGTCCACGATTTGGATAGTGAAGCCGTGACATCAGATTACATCTTCCTCCCCGTGAACGACGTCCGAGGCACTCGGGCTCACCAGTACGATTTTGGCGGCCAGCTGCTCAATTATTCGTACTACGAGAGTGGACCGTTCTTGCCGCACCGCATCACCGAAATCTTCTTGCACAAGGATATCGCGAGCGCCATCTCGACATCATCGGATTCTGCCGCGGCTGATCTTGCGGTTGAGGATGGATTCCATGAATTTTACAAGTCGGCCTGTAATTTGGCGTTTGACTTGGACATGGCCCGGCAGACGGAGGCCGGCTTTGATATTTCGGAGGCGGTCTAAAAAGTGTCTCTTTGTTTGGCGTACGGATTAGACTACATTTCATGTATTTATATTAGGGACCCCAGGGATAAGGGATGTATATTACGAAACACTATAATAGAAGAAGCTCTGCTCAGTGGTTTGCGGGGATAGGATCATATTTCTTACGAATGGGGGGGTACGGGGAATTTCTTTTCATCCACATTACCCGTCACAGAGGTGGGGAAACATGCCACCTTTTACATGAAGTGTATTCAGAGCTGCCCCATGTCACTTTTTCTAAAAGCACCAGACAAAACCAGATGCATTCATTTACATCGCACGCGGAGGAGAAACCAGCTTAAATGCCCACGAACCGATCAAAATCGGCAATCCCGCGTCGGAGCCCCAACTCCCAGGTCTGATGATCGCCCTCCAGCCGTGCAACATCCCTCGCGCGCCGACGAGCCCAGAGCTCCACCTCCCCGATCCTATCCGCCCCCCCAGGCCTCCTCAGCGGCAACAGGCCCTCGACCGCGGCATCATAGAACCGCAGCGCATCGCTGAATCCCAAGTCCCAGCCGTGGACGAAACTCTGCCGCCCGGCCGCGCTCTGGCAGGACTTCTCCTGCGCCTCGACCTGTGACAAGGCCTCCCTCAGCAGCTGCGGCCGCTCGATCCGGGCTTGCTGGGCTTGTGCCTGGACGAGGTCCCGCGAGAGTAGCAGGTGGCTTGGTGGTGCGAAGATGGTGGTAGCGCCTGATCGTCCGAGATCCGCTCCGAGCTGTGGGAAGGGTGTCGCGCAGTCGTCGTGGAACTTCGCGGTTCCTTCGAGACCGGCACTGATATACAGCGGTAGGAATTCGTCAATGGCGCTCACAATCATCCTCACCTCCCTGCACCAGTCGCGGAGACGCGAAGCGTCTGCCTCGTTGTTCTTCTCAGGGAGTGCGATCCGGAGACCCGCGACACCGTGTAGTGCGTGGAAGGTCACCTCCTGCGCGATGAAGGCGACGCAGTCTCGTGCTAGGGCGAGGGTTTTCACGCTGGAGCAGAGGTCTACCCCATTAGCGGTGGGGTCGAAAGTGAGTAGGACGCCAATGCCGTGGGTATGGCATCGTTCCATGAGGTGTTTGATGGCGTTCCAGCAGCGGGTGTAGACTTGGGATGGCAGGCCTTCGAAGGGTGTGCCTTCGCTGAAGAGAGGACCCAGAGTCAAGAATCCGAGGGACAGCTGGATCGTGTTGCAGTGTGCGCTGTCTCTGAGCCAGAGTAGATCGTCATTCTTCAGCGCGCCAAGCCAATGGGATCCCCATATCGAGGAGGTGGGTTCTAGCCCGTTGGTCTCGATGGAGCTGGTGAGTTCAGCGGGTGAATCGTGCCATATAAGGGTGGGAAGGGGGGTAGTAACAGACCTTTTGAGTGCTTCGAGCTCATCTTGCTCGGTGCAGTTGCTTGAGATGGCGTTGGTTGAGGACGGTCCGTGTAAGAAAGTAGATCCTAAATTTACGCCGTACCGGGAACGAAAGCGAAATATATCTTGGTCCCCTGGGGGTAGTGGACAGTATAGATCTGACATCTCCCCGCGCGGTCAATAAGCAGTGTTCTACTGGAGGTCACAAAAATAGTTTGTTTGTTAGTTTGACTTGATAGTATGATTTGATGCCGCAGGGCGTGATGGTTGCTGAGTTCGATGATTGACGATATTGAGCAGCTTGGATAATCACCAGAACAGCTGTTGCCCCAACCGTAGCGCCTCGCAAGTACGTCCGCAAGTATGATAGACGAGGCAAGGATCAGTAGTTTAAGTCCACAAGGTGAGAAAGTCACACAAGTTGATAAGTGATCACTGGCAATCTGCGCTGAGGGAGGATCATCCGAGTTTCCTAAACGGGAAATCCCTCGCCAGCACCAAATAAGCAATATATTGATCGATCTTTACTGGATTTCAGGCTAGCTGGAGACTCCAGTTGAGCGTGTAAGAACCATGCGAAAACCCAATCGAATCTAAGGGGTAATTCTGGATTGTGATTTTGTGATGTACACAGGGAGCAATGGGCTCAGAACTACGTATGTGCAGAGTAAGGTAGTTAGAAGATGGAAGCAATGGAAGTGATCACATGGGCAGGCTTGACGTAGTTCCTTGAAAGATTGGGCTAATACTCGTACGTACAGTCAAAAGACTGGCAAATGGCGAGGGGCTCCGCATTAGGCCGACCTTGTCCGTGCCCGCTAATACTAGACTGAAAATAACTCCCCTCCTCCCTGAACTCTAGGAACTTTGTTAACCTTCCCCCTTCATTATCTCAACATTCGTGCCTTTTTGTGTTTGTTTCTCCTTGTGCTCGAGTAGTCTTGTCTGTGTTTTATCTTCTTTGTGTTTGTTCGCCCGTCGTCATACCGACCGTGCCGGACTGCCGCCTACCTGACCCTCAATTGTTGCACCCAACCATGAAGCTTGTGCGGAGACAGTAACAGCCAAGGCATGGAGAGAACACGAGTTGCTAAGGTTGGTCCTTCACGGTAGAGAGCGGGCGAATCTGAAACATCAACTGAATATTATCTTTTGACTATTCCAGGTTGAAGATGTGACCCTGGCGCGTCGCGGTGAACAGGTCGTCGGCACACTCCATCTTACCCCTCACCATATCATCTTCTCCTACATCCCTCCCTTAACCGATCAATCCCCAACCTCAAATACTGCTGGCCGGTCAAAGGAGCTCTGGATTACATATCCTATCATCTCCTTCTGTACCTATCGTCCCACCCCCGCCGCAGCCCGCCAGCCATCTTCAATTCGACTCCGCTGTCGTGATTTCACTTTTGTCTGCTTCTACTTCACTAGCGAGAGTAAGGCGCGAGAAGTATACGAAAATATAAAGGGCTGGACCTGCAAGATTGGACGCATCGACAAGCTCTACGCTTTCACTTACCAGCCGCCGGCCCCCGAGCAGAAGTTCAATGGCTGGGAATTCTACGACCCCCGCAAGGAATGGGCTCGACAAGGCGTGGATCAGAATGGCTCGGGCTGGCGTATCTCTCAGCTAAATGCTGATTATGGGGTAATTATGCCCGGACAAAGCGCGAATTAAAACCACGTTAACCAGCGACTCTCAGTTCTCTGCGACGTACCCTGCTGTCATAGTTGTCCCGACCACCATCTCGGACATCACCCTCAACCATGCTGGCAAATATCGATCAAGAGCAAGAGTACCCGCCTTAACGTATCTACACCCTGTGAACAATTGCTCCATCACTCGAAGCTCGCAGCCGCTGGTTGGCGTGCGCCAAAATCGAAGCATTCAGGACGAGAAGTTGCTCGCCGCGATATTCTCGACGTCCCGTTCTGAACGACCGCTCGCAAACGTCTCCCCGCCACATTTCGAACCGGAATCCTCCAGTTCGACATCAAGCGACCCGTCCGGTAGTCAAATGCTGGCCGATCTGACCAACGCTGAAGAACTCGAAGATGAAATGCTGGCCTCTTTCCCCGGTGACCCGGAGGAGAAGCCTCACATCTACGGAGCTCAGCAGCGCAACCTCATTGTTGACGCTCGTCCAACCGTCAATGCTTATGCTATGCAGGCCGTAGGGCTTGGGTCGGAGAATATGGACAACTACAAATTCGCTACCAAAGCGTACCTCGGAATCGACAACATTCACGTCATGAGGGATTCACTCAACAAAGTGATCGATGCGCTCAAAGATTCCGATGTCACCCCCTTGGGTCCCAACAAAGACCAGCTTGCACGGAGCAATTGGCTGAAACACATCTCGACCGTCCTGGATGGCGCGGGCCTGATCGCCCGGCAGGTTGGACTTCAGCATTCTCATGTCTTGATTCATTGTTCAGACGGATGGGATCGCACAAGTCAGTTGAGTGCACTGAGTCAGCTTTGCCTGGACCCGTACTTTCGGACACTTGAAGGCTTCATGGTCTTAGTGGAAAAGGACTGGCTGTCGTTCGGACACATGTTCCGACATAGAGCTGGACATCTGAACAGCGAAAAGTGGTTTCAAATTGAGAACGAACGGATCGGGGGTGATGCCAACCGAGCATTCGGAGAGGCTGGGGGTGCGGGGAGAGCTATTGAGAACGCTTTTCTCAGTGCCAAGGGCTTCTTTAACAGAGACAACAATAGTCGTGACTCTCTTGGAGAGTCGGACGGGGAGATGCAATCATATGATGGAGAAAATGCGAAGAAAGCTGCAGCACCGAGAGCGACGGCTGTTGAAAAGGAAGTGACCAAGGTGAAGGAAACAAGCCCAGTTTTCCATCAATTCCTAGATGCAACCTATCAGTTACTCTACCAGCACCCTACCCGGTTCGAGTTCAACGAACGATTCCTGCGACGGCTGTTGTACCACCTATATTCGTGCCAGTTCGGGACATTCCTCTTCAACAGCGAGAAGGAGCGGGTAGAGTGGAACGCTAAAGGGCGCACTCGCAGTGTTTGGGACTACTTTCTTGCACGTAGGGAACAGTTCCTGAATCCCGATTATGACCCGCAGGTCGATGATCACAAACGTGGAAAGGAACGTCTGGTGTTTCCGCGGGTCAATGAAGTGCGATGGTGGAGCGAGGCATTTGGTAGAGCCGATGCTGAGATGAACGGCCCTCAGGCTCCTGGCTCAGGGCTGTCAGTTCCCCGTGAAGCTCCGAGTGCCCAACGGTCGCCAGTGTTGTCCGGGATGGAGACGGCTAATCATTCCGTCGGTGCTGGCTCCGCTGGCAAAGACGCTGACAACGCCCCACCGAGCGGAATCGCAGCCGTGACAGCGGGGATCTCTAACCTGGCTTTCCCGAAAAGCAAGGAGAATACCCAGGATACGAAAAGCATGAATCGCATGGAGCTTGAGATGCAATGAAGGAGTAGCGACACCATTCAACCTCCAAATTGATGTTAATGACGCATCCCGTCGGCGTTGGTCTGGGCGGATAGTTTATAAAAAGCCGGCGAATTCATTATGTTACTTACTAGCTACAGTATTTTTGGTCTACTTTTTGACGTTGCATGCTCTGTCCTTGTTTTTGTTGGTAGAGATACAGTCTACGGCCAGATGATCAGTGTCCCAGGGCCAGAAGAGAGGAAACATGCCGAGTACCACCTATGTGGGGTTTGCATAACCCCCGCTGAAGCTTCTTATAGAGTTGCTCATGACAGGATTCTTATCAGAATAAGGGGCTGTAGAACATCGCTGGGAACCGGGAGAGGGTAGTGATAACTCACTCCCCCAGAATCATCAGTATGCTCAGATGTATAGAAAGTAAGGAAGAACGAGAACAATACTTTGTAGTACTCGAATCAATAGACTCGGGAGTAGCTGTCGATGCCTGTGATCTCAGGCTCCAAGTCGCGGGGAGACCTATGCCCAGAGGGGGTAAAGCTAGCCCCGAAGGGGAAAGGTTCCCGCAGAGCAGCAAGCGAGGTTGAGCCCTAACCCGAAAAGGGATGAACGAGCCCTAAAGCCAAAAACTGCCCACTACCGCCGACCTTCTCAAAACTGACTTGACCGCCGCCGACCAATTCGCCCTCGAACGACTACCCCCCCTTCAACCACCCGCGTCCTCGGCCGTTTCTTTCGCCAATTCACCACCCAGAAACGCAAACATGGCTGCTGTCCAGGGAGCTATTTCGAAGCGCCGCAAGTTCGTCGCCGACGGTGTCTTCTATGCCGAGTTGAACGAGTTCTTCCAGCGCGAGCTGGCTGAGGAGGGCTACTCCGGTGTCGAAGTCCGTGTCACTCCCACCGTCACCGACATCAGTACGTCGCCCGATTTGATTTTTATTATGCTTTGAGATGGGGATTGGTGTTCGGGAAAAGTTCAAGGAAATTGAAGGAAGGATAGGACGCGGGTCCCGAGGAAGAGCTGGAAATCGAAAAAAAGCTTGATGATCGGGGGGAGGGTCGGCTGTCAGCATTGGAGGAAAACAAGCATCAAGGGGAAAACGATCAATTGCTAACGGATGCTTCTTCTCTCTGCAGTCATCCGTGCCACCCACACCCAGGAGGTTCTCGGTGAGCAGGGTCGCCGCATCCGCGAGCTCACCTCCCTCATCCAGAAGCGCTTCAAGTTCCCCGAGAACTCCGTCTCCCTCTATGCCGCCAAGGTCCAGAACCGTGGTCTCTCCGCTGTCGCTCAGTGCGAGTCTCTCCGCTACAAGCTCCTGAACGGTCTTGCCGTCCGCCGTGCTTGCTACGGTGTCCTCAGATTCATCATGGAGAGCGGTGCCAAGGGTTGCGAGGTTGTCGTTTCCGGAAAGCTCCGTGCTGCCCGTGCCAAGTCCATGAAGTTCACTGTACGTTTTTTTCCACACGAAAAGAAATCCAATCTGAGATACGCCCGGAAAATGGTTCGATACGACGACAGCCGAATGGGATCATTGCGATGAAGTAGCGATGCGACGTGCGATATACATACCGACTGTTCGGAGATTTGGGACCATTTACCGTGGCTTTGGATGCGATATTGAAATATATGGGAACAAACTTTCGGAAGGCTAACAAGATACCTCGCACAGGACGGATTCATGATCCACTCCGGTCAGCCCGCCAAGGAGTTCATCGACAGCGCCACCCGTCACGTTCTCCTCCGCCAGGGTGTCCTCGGTATCAAGGTCAAGATCATGCGCGGTTCCGACCCCGAGGGCAAGGCCGGCCCCCAGAAGACCCTCCCCGACTCCGTCACCATCATCGAGCCCAAGGAGGAGCAGCCCATCCTCCAGCCCGTCAGCCAGGACTACGGTGCCAAGGCTCTCGCTGCCCAGCAGGCCGCCGAGCAGCAGCGTCTGGCCGAGCAGCAGGCCGCCGAGGGCCAGGAGGGTGCTGCCCCCGCCGAGGGCTTCGCTCAGGAGTAAAAGAAAATCGTTGGATTTCCCCTTCCTCTTTTTTTCTTCTCTTGTTAGGCCCTCTGCTCTTTCTTTTTTCTTCGTTCCTGTCCGACCTACCTATATCATCTCTCTTACCTGACGCAAATAAACAACTTCATGATTCCAAATCTTCGATGAGCGCCCAGAAAAAAGAAGACCCTTGTTTATTTTCTCCTCCCTTTTTCCCCTTTCGCTCTCAAGTGTCCGTGGGGTTTCTCCCGGTGGCTCTGGCGGAAGAAGGGCGTCAGGATATCTCGTCTTCTAGGAGACCCCACCCTCTCATGTCCTTAATTACCACTCTCAAATACTCCCTCCCCCTTGAGTCGATATGACCTAGGTAGGAAAGACAGAAACAAGAAAGGAAAAGAAAAAAAAGTCAAAATTCATGCCCGAAACGAGTTTCTCTAGCCTGTTCCTCCTTTGTCCCCACCTACGTAATAGGATCCACGGTCATTAGTTGTAGAGGTGTCTGCGTAGATGCTTGGTGCAGTTAAGGAATTTTCACGCCCCACACTCGTGTATTAGGTAAGGGGCTCTGTAGGGCGGGCTGGCCAGTTGGTTCTTAGTGGAAGCATGTATGCTAGAATTCTTATGAAAGGAAACGGATGCACGCTGCCAGGTGTTCGATACTCCTGAAAAAATCGCCTTTTGTCTTTTTTATTCATTCTATCAATGATTCTTATATCATGAACATCAGATGTCTTTCCATTTCATGCAGACAAGCAGATCTAGCATTCCGACACCTCTACGTTTCTCTCAGCTCGTGCAGTCGATCATAGGAAGGCCTCGATGTTCAACTCCAGTGTGCTAACGGGATACTTGAGTTCGTAGTTCTCCAGGACCGTGGGGTGGAGGATACCGAAGGAACCAATGACATGCTCCTTGCCGGCTATGCGCACGTGAACGGAGGCGGCGTGGCCGGGGAAGTATGTGGGTTCTGGTGAAATGAGTTGCGTTAGTTTCTTGGTCTACTTGTCTATTTGTTGTGGTGTGTCTTATGTTTGTACTGAAGGCGGGGAACTACTCACCATCCAGCTCCTCAATCCAGTACTGCGAATCGGACATGGCGGGGTTCTCGAGTCCCTCCTCGCCGGTGATGAAAGCGCTCTTCAGCATGGCCATGACGCGGTCCAGCAGACCGTGGACGACCTCGAAGCCGCTGGTCTTGCCGTACCAAGCGGCCGCGAAGTGGCGCTCGTTGCGGCTCTTGCGCTCCAGAGAGAGATCCTTGAAGGCGACGTCGCTGACCTCGAAGATCTTGATGGGGACGGCGTGGTGCTTGTTCTCACGGATGGTCTTGAGGAGACCCGGCAGCAGGCTGGTACGCACGACCTGGAACTCCTGGGTCTTGGGGTTGGCCAACTTGACCGCCGTGTTGCCGTCGTCCTTGCGGTTGAGCCAGCCGAAGTTCTCATCGTGAGAGCATAGAATCAATGGCAGCACCTCGGACCAGCCCGCCATGGCGGCTTCCACGCGCACGATATCGGAGAGCTTGTTGATGGGGAGGGGCTGGGCGATGGTACCGGATTTGCTGGGGAAAGAGCGCGGCAGGGAGTTGAAGCCGTACGCGATGGCTACATCCTCCATGATATCGGCCTGGTGCAGCACGTCCGCTCGGGTCGCGGGGATATAGACATCGATGATATCGGGGTTCGTCGTCGAGGGCTTGGCGTCGTAAGCCATCTTCCTCAGGAGCTTGCAGATTTCCTCGGGCTTGAGCTCAAGGCCACAGCACTGGTTGATGTAGGAAACCTCCGCCTCGGCCTTGCGGGGGCTGATGTCCGGAACAACCCGGGTTTCGTTGTTGTGCTCGGAGACGATCTTGATGGGCTCAATGCTATATGAATCGTTAACATCAAGCACCTGGAGAAATGTGGTGTGCACCTACGTGAAAGGCTCGGTGCAGTACTGAGAGAACATGGTCACCATCATGCGGTTGACGATCTCCACTTTCGTCTTGTCGAGCGCGGTGATCTCGATAAGGATGTTCTTGGTGTCGAGGGTAATCTTCGAGTGATCACCGTTGATGATGGGTGGCAGAGAGCAAACGGTCCTCTTCGAGTCATAGATGACGGGATAGACGGGGGAGTCCCGGATGATGTGCAGGTACTTGCCAAGGTGCTTGTCTTTCTACTTGAGGGTTATTATCGAATCCGATGGATAAGTTCGTGGCGCCGTGAGCCATACCTCGTAGAAGTTCATCAACTCCTCGCCATTCATCTCCGTAGTCTGGTTGAGAGGGGTGAACTTGACGTCCTTGGGGGGTAGCGCCTCGTAGGTGAAAGGTCCCTGAATGGTGTCGAGATCGTGGGTACCGATGGACACGAGGGTTCTTTGGCGCGCAAGGTTCTGGTGGAGCTTATCTTGGAGGGCGATGAAGGATTCGTAGCGCGCTTGGTCGAACTTGACGTTGCGAAGGATGGCACCGGACACCAAGGGACGGACCTTCATGGTCTGTTCCGTAGAATTAGCGCCCGATGCTGAGGGCGAAGGCTGTTCGATTGCGACTTACATCCTCCTTGACGATGATCGTCTCAAGCTCACCATTGGCAGGCTCGACCAACTTGTAGTTGGGAACCGGCTGGCGGCCCAAGAAGATGTTGAGCATGAGGGCGATACCCTCGAAGCAAAGCATGTCATACCTGCGACACTCTCAATATATGCGCCTCGAAAGGAAGTTCTGGATGCATACCGGTTGGCGGGGATTTCGATCTTGAGTTGAGGGGGCTCCTGCTTCCCATTCACAATGGGGCGATCCTGATCCGTAGTCTATTGAGCTTTAGCATTCTATTGTAAAGCGGCGAAAGCGAGAGGGTCGTTTACGTCTTCGTCGAGTTCGACGCCTAATTTTGCACAATCAGTATCTCGCCCCGCCATTGTCGAAGTAGGCCAACATACCGAACTCGAAGCAAAGCTCATCAAACTCCTCGGTGGTATAGCTGGAACAATTGGGTCAGTTACATAGTCAGGATATATGGAGAGACCGAGCGAAATGCATACTCCCGTCCGAGCGCCTCGAAGAGGGCGGCCTTGTCGACCGAGATAGTGGGCATGATGAGGGGTTTGGGCTTCGCAGCAAGATGAGGAAAATGTTCAGTTCAAGTAGAGTGCGACCAGACTCCCATATACCGGTAAGCGACTGGGTATATTCAGACCACGAAGATAACCACGAAACGGGTCAGGAAAGAAAGTCGAGGAAGAGAGCGTGGCTGGAGGCGCTGGTCGATACTCGTAGAGTCATAAAGTCTTTTTGACTCCAAAGGCGGCATCCGTTCGGAGGGTCAGCCACACTCGCTCTCCGTCCTTCTGCACCGCCACAGGACAATTCAACCCCTCTCCCCCCTCCGTCACTCACTCACCTCATTTCCCACACCAGCCACACACAAGTCCATGCATCTTCCTTGAACCTCTCCCAGTAGTGAGTCCGTCCGTCACTTTCGTAATCTCCCCTTCAGCTACCTGCGTTTCACCCACCGGCACAAAATTGACCTCCCTCTCCCCGTCTTCTTCTGAGACTTTATTCTTACGAGCTTCAACTGAGCTTCACGACATTATTCGAATATATCCTCTTTCTCTGACACCCTATTCCGTCGCAATTGTCGAGGTATGCTCTACCGTTGCTGTTATTGCTCAAGTGTCCTGCGGCGGCCCAAACCCCACGAAACCTCCTCCGGGGTTCTCTTCCTCACTGCTCCCATCCTCCCTTTTCAATATACCACCCACCCAAGACAAATACCCCCCACTCGACACTAACCCATCCGATCTTGAACAGGTGCTCACCTTACCTTGGCTCCCTCCAAGTTTGTTCCTAGATCCTGGTATCCCCTTCTTCCCTCCAGAAAATATTCGTCGTGTTCGCGTGCGAGCGGGTCGGATAATCGCCTGAGTGAGGACGTGGATCAGTCATAACCTCACCTCTCTGGTTGTCGCTTAATCCTCAAACCGAACTCTCTTATAATACGATCGCGATGGAGGGTCAGGGTGAAAACGACGAACTTTACCCTATCGCCGTCCTTATCGACGAGTTGAAGGTATGATAATCACCATTGACTCCGCTATCGTCCCCACGTGCGGGCACTGTCGGTCCTGACATTCGATCAATCCAGCACGACGATGTCCTCCTCCGTCTCAATGCTATCCACCGCCTCTCCACCATTGCCTTGGCCCTAGGCCCCGAGAGAACCCGGGAAGAACTGATCCCATTCCTTGATGGTCAGTACCTAACAACCGCGAGGAAGCGTCCTTCGTCATATGGAACGCGCCTAACCATACGTGTACAGACTCCGTCGAGGATGAAGATGAGGTTTTGACCGCGTTAAGTGAGGAGCTTGGAAACTTCACAGAATATGTCGGTGGTCCAGAATTTGGCCATGTACTCCTCTCCCCGCTCGAAAATTTGGCCGCTATCGAAGAGCCTTTGGTTAGAGAAAAGGTAGGGATTTACGATCATGGTCCTAATCTTATCTTGTCTAGCAACTAGAATATACTAATATGTGCCCAATCAGGCCGTTGAATCGCTCAATAAGATCGGTGAGCAGTTGTCCGAGAAACAGATCGAAGAGTATTTCATTCCGATGGTTCTGCGCTTGTCGAAAGCCGACTGGTTTACCTCGAAAGTTTCCGCGACTGGCCTCTACTGTGTCCCATACAGGAAGGCTTCGCCCACACTGCAGCAAACCCTTCGTCAATACTATGGAAGCCTTGTGCATGACGACACACCCATGGTGCGGAGACAATCTGGAAACAACCTCGCCAAGTTCATCAAGGAACTGAACACTCAAGTTGTTATCGACGAAATGATACCCTTGTTCCAGCACCTTGCCACCGATGAACAGGACAGCGTGCGGTTGCTTACCGTGGATGTGCTTATCTCGATCGCGGAGGAAATTCCCAAGGAGCAACAGCCCAGCCATGGTGTTCTTTTGACTTCGTTGAGGAATCTGTTTGAGGACAAGAGCTGGAGGGTCAGATACATGGTTGCCGATCGTTACGAGAAGGTTTGTTGTCTGTACAACCTGGGTCAGCCGCTTTTGACTGACAAGGAATGCAGATTGCCAAAGCCGTGCATGAGGAAGTCGTCACTCGTGACATGGTTCCCTCTTTCGTCAAGCTTCTGAAAGATACGGAAGCTGAAGTTCGTACCGCTATTGCCGGCCAGATTCCAGGTATGAGCAGCGCATCTTCTGAACGATTCCGATAGCTAACTTTGCCCTAGGCTTCTGCAGCCTGATCGACCGTGAGACGTTGCTTAATGAGATCATGACGAGCGTAGAAGACCTCGTGTCGGATCCTTCTCAACACGTCCGCGCAGCACTGGGAACACAGATCAGCGGCCTTGCGCCTATCCTTGGCAAGGAGGAGTAAGTGTTCATATAGATGAAGACCGCCTGTTCAGCTATTGATTGACGCTGCTCAAGGACTACTGCCCATCTCCTCCCGATGTTCTTGCAAATGCTGAAGGATGAATTCCCGGATGTCCGTCTGCATATCATCTCCAAGCTGGAGTTGGTCAACAAAGGTGAGCAGCTAATCGCTATAGCGGCCGCTACGTCATTCGACTAACTGTCGTAGTTATTGGCATTGACCTCCTTTCTCAATCGCTTCTTCCGGCTATCGTCCAATTGGCCGAAGACAAGCAATGGCGTGTCCGACTGGCCATCATCGAATATATTCCCCTCCTTGCCAGCCAGTTGGGTGTCAAGTTCTTCGATGAGCAACTCAGTGATCTCTGCATGGGCTGGCTCGGCGACACGGTCTTCTCCATTCGTGAAGCTGCCACAACTAACTTGAGGAAGCTCACTGAGGTATTCGGGGTTGACTGGGCCAAGGGATCCATTATCCCCAAGGTTATGGCCATGGGCCAACACCCCAACTACCTTTACCGGATGACCACATGCTTCGCCATCTCCGTAAGTAAACTTGGTTTCCTTCTCGGAATCTCACCATTGACCTTCCTTCAGACCCTCGCCCCTGTTGTATCGATGGACATCATCGAGAATTCGATTCTTCCCATCTTGGACAGACTTGTGTCGGATGAGATCCCCAACATCCGCTTCAACGTTGCCAAGTCTTACGCTGTATTGATCGACACTTTGCGGCGCCTGCCGGCGGAAGGAACCTTGACGGAGCTTGAGAAGACGGGACAGACTGCCACCCCATCGCCGCGGGGTCAGGAACTCATTCAACAGAGAATACTCCCTAGCTTGGAAAAGCTGCAAGGCGATGATGATGTCGATGTGCGGTATTTTGCAACGACTGCCGCTGGCGGCCACGAGGAAGTCATGCAGACTTCACCGTAGGCTTACCGCCTGCACATGCTTACCGAGCACCATAAGTGCGTGAGTGAGAACTAATAATACGGCACTCGCGCTAATTTGGGTGGAATTCAGTTTTTGTCCAACTTAGAAATAGTCAGAGCATCTGGCTTGTATGAAATGCTTTGTGGCGTTTTCCCTGTAGAGTCTTCTTGGTCGACGATCAATAATCCTGCAAAAATCAAATCCCGGTACTTTCTATGCTTTAATTTCGTATTATAAGTCCTACGATTGGAGTGCGACCATTGAGCGACAAGGGGCCCCTATTCATCATGTGATTCCGTGTTTAGTTCCGTAAAGCCGGTGTCGCAATCAGCCAGGCAAGCTTCGGTTTATTTTCAGAGAACGTCCACGTGTACCAGGCTCTCTTCCTCGAGACGGTTAGGCAGGTGGAATACAGCCATTGCCCGGTCATCTCGACTCTCAATCCTCATTCTCCTTTAGCTTTCGTCTCTTGCAATTGTCGACATCATGGCTCTTGCGTGGCCCTGGCACTTTGTCACTCTCTCCGAGGCGGAAAAGGAGCAGCGTCGCGAGCTTCTAGACCTACGAGGATCTTACGCTCAGTACTCAATGCTACTGGCGATCCTTTTGGTGCGATTGTATACATGGGTGTTTCAGTCTGGGAATGAGCCTCCCAAGCCCAACCGACGCAAGCCTCTGGCAAAGTCCTGGCTGGACTCTCCACCCTTTGCGGGATGGATTGAGACTCGGAGACAGTACCTGGTCTGCTCGATCTGGCTGATGTGGCTCCTGTGCCTGTGCATATGGAACTCTGGTGATGGTAGGTACCAGTTCTCCATTCTAAATCATGTTCAGAATATCGTCGGATTTAGTATCCGATAAAGTTATTCCCGCAACATCACCATTGCCAGGTCTGTGATTTGTCGCAGGGGCGGCGGGCGGGTAGTGTGTCTGATGCGTGGAAATATCAGCATAGATGGATAAACAACTTATTCGATGCATTTCGAACGAATTGACTGCTAACGAATTCAGATTACCTTCACCTCACCAAGTCTCTCGGGCATGTCGCTCTTTCTCAATTCCCGTTTCAAATCCTGATGTCGCCGCCGCTCTATCTCACCTCCACGCCGGCCTCCCCGTCATTAATCTCCGTGCTCACCACCATCCCCCAGCCTACCATCAACGCCTATCATCGGCTCTTCGGCCGCCTGGTCATTGCGCCCTTACTAGTCAGCCATGCGCTCCTCTACGACTCTTTCTTCCTGCAGACCCCTCACCCGGAGTTCGGGATCTTGTTTGCGAAACGCATCCGCGACGCAGATGTCCAGTGGGGAATCCTGGGAGTGGTTGCCTTCACGTCGGTGGTGCTCTTCGCGCGTCCAGCGGTGAAACCCCGGTGGGCTATGAGCTTGAGGAGCGGGTCTGGGTCGGCGAGGGCGAGGCAGCAGGTCTTTTGGGCGGTGCATGTTGGGCTGGTGGTCGTGCTGGGTGTTGCAGCGTATTCGCATGTGCAGTGGGCGAGGCTGTACATGATTGAGGGCTTGGTGGGGAGCATGGCTAATGTGGGCTGTGGGCTGTTTCTTTGAGGATGGTCTGTTTGTAGTCCTTGGGTAATGGTAGGCTGGGTTCGGAAGGGGGTTGTGTGCATCATTGTGTAGCAGGATGTGTGTCAATTGCGTTTACGTACAGTTGTCTGAGTGTGCAAGCTTCTGACATTAGTGGAAGTAATTGAAGGAATCAATTGAGGTTGTTTTAGATTGATCGGTACTCTACTGGGTAACACTCTTCACAGTATGTTCCAATGTTCAAACAGGAAGAGCGGCCGCACGAGGCGAGTCGGTGAGTCAAGCCTGAGGTCCATGGTTTTGAGTTTCCTCTGAGGTGAAGCTATCCAGACTTGGTTCTCAGATATGCTTTTCGGCTCGTCGTTTCATATGCAGAGGACATCTCCACGTAATGACCCTTGATCTTGGAGTGCGAATTAACCCCATTTTTGTGGTGCCTATGCCAGTTTTGGTACCGTTTCTCTCTCGAAAGCTATGGATATTATGTCTTTTTAGTAAGCCAGTTCGTGGTATTGCCATCGTGGATTGGGCGCATGTTTGTTGGTATCTGACTATGCACCACCAGGACCAACAAACTTCTCGTAGACGCTTGAAGTGGGTCGAAGCTAAATAACAAAGATTAGGAACAGGTGCATTGATATTTTGCCTCCCATTATGAACGAAGTAAGTATTAGCTGAAAGCATGGACTGCATTGAATGCTGCCCACTGTAATTGTTGCCTTAGACGGCAGGCACAAACGACTCGAGTCCCGAGTCCATGCACTAAGATCGCAACCTGATTGCACGGGCAACCGATGGACCAGGATCTTGATTGGTCTGTGCCTTCACTTTCGATCAACTACTCCGTATTGCCCCAGGGACGGGCCCTTCGTCATGATTCATGTTGCCTTGTCGATGCTTCTCTTTTGCTCACTCTCAATGATCAATTGTACTTCACGCATCGGTGCTCCCTTCGATCGTTGTACTTCTACCTGTCTTAGATCTTTTCTTGCTTTTACTTTTTAGTGATCTCAAGCTAAAGAGATTAGCTGTGGACGGGTTTTGCCAGTACTATCTACTTCCCCGCAGTGTTTATCAACAAACTACCACTGAGTATCGACTCAAGCTGAGGTCGTCGTCTCCTTCGATGCACGACGCTCGGTCTATAACTTAGAATGCGATCTCAACGACTGGTAGTCTGGCTAGGGACTTTTGTCCTTGTTTCGCTCATTCTGCTCTTTGTGCGAAATTCCAATTCCTCACCAGACACATCGAGTTTTTCACCCTTGCCTGATCCCCGTCCAACTTCCAATTTGCAACAGCCCGACCTCCCGCCAAACGAGCAGCTTCTTCAGCAATCAACGTATCACAAAGACCTAACGCCTGCAGGGAAGCATCCGATCGCTGCGTTAAGCGATAATGCAGGTCAAAAGTTTGACCAAATACGGTCCAGCCAGTCCAAGACTCTGTCACAAGCTGTCAGAGAATACCGTCGCCGCTATGGAATGCATCCCCCACCGCACTTTGACAAATGGTTTCATTTTGCTCAATCCAAAGGAGTCCAATTGATCGACGAGTATGACACCATCTATCATTCCCTTCTTCCATTCTGGGCTCTGGAACCGAAGACTATCCGCGGGCGGGCCCGCGAGACTCTCGGGTTCGATAACTCCATGATCGGAGTCTTGATCCGGAATGGGACCATCTCCTTGACCGAGGGAGGGACCGATGAAAAAAAGTGGCAGCGCAGTGCTACGGCTCAAATGATCAAAAGCTTCGCGGAGTACTTACCCGACATGGATCTTGTCTTCAATGCTCATGATGAACCACGGGTAATCGTCCCGAGTGAGGATCTTCAGCGGCTGGTCACGATTGCCCGAGATCATGCTATCCCAGATGCATACTCGACTGAGGAGCCGAAGAATGCGTGGTCCGATCGACCGTCGGACCTGAACAAGGGCGATCGGATCGATGAAGTGCGCACCACGCGTTTCAGTCGGTTCTCGCACCAGTCAACATGGAGTTACTCTCGGTCCTCCTGCCCAGTTAAATCTCCAGTCCGGTCGCTTGATGAAGACCCGATGGATAACATCGACTCCTACGCTGAGGGCGAGCTAGGTTTCATCGCGAACATGACCGCGTTCTCGGACATCTGCAACACCCCTTCCCTGCGAGATACATACGGATTCTTTGACCGGCCTAATACATTTGAGGTCGTTCATGATCTATTTCCCGTTTTTTCTCAGAGCAAGATCTCGAGCTATCAGGACATACTTTACCCAAGTCCATGGTATTATGCAGATCAGGTGCCGTACGAGGCCGCTCGGGACTTCGATTGGGACGCGAAACTTGACAAGATGTACTGGCGAGGATCTACCACTGGAGGATACTCCCGAGCTGGAGGCTGGCGCCGCCAGCATCGGCAACTATTCGTGCGCAATGTGATTGCTCGGGACACGGCGAAAGTACTCGCGAAGCGAGAGGACGGCCAGTGGACATCCACTGAGATCGACCGATCATCTCTTGACGACCTATTTGACATTCACTTTACGTACATTGGGCAATGCGACGCAGAAGACTGTGCGTCGCAGCGGGAATACTTTGGTGTTGTCGAACCCGTTGACCAGCAAGACGCATGGGCCTATCGACATTTGGTTGATATCGATGGCAATGCCTTCAGTGGCCGATTCTATGCCTTCCTACGAAGCAAGAGTCTAGTATATAAGATCTCAATCTTCCGCGAATGGCATGATGAATGGCTCAAGCCCTGGGTTCACTATGTTCCCTTGCGACTCAGTGGAGATGACTATCTGGAAGCTGTCCGTTACTTCGTCCAGGAAGAAGATGGGAAACTTATAGCCCCGAAGATCGCGCAGCAGAGCCGTGATTGGGCTCATGAAGCTCTTCGCAAAAGCGATATGGAAGTCTGGTTCTTCCGACTATTGTTAGAGTCAGTTTGCCCCTCGTCCCGTGCGTTTGCAGATTCTAACCCTGAGGTGCGTTTTGTAGGTATGGACGCCTTGTGGACGAAAACAGGCGAAACCTGGGGTTCTCGCTGTAGCATGCCCTTCCATTATGATTTTATTATGTCTTTTTTATGCTTTGTTGTACAGTACTTAGAGTTCCCATGATATCCCCAAGTGTTCTTGCCACAATCTTGCACAGTCTTCTTGTTCGGAGTGACGCCATGACGTGGTGGCTCCTCCGGATATATGTGATTTATTCGTTCAGCAATGCAAAAAGGTGGTGCATCTGACTAAAACAACTGAAACAGGCCCCAAGAAAGCCGGCGATTATTACGTAGTGCATTGCAGCTTTTTCCGTAGAATTTCACATGTGGGCGGATTCGAAGTGGGCAACAGCGGGCCAACGGCGCCCTGTGACTGGCAGCAGCGGAGACTGGCCAAATCGCCCATCCACGGGGGGTTCTTTTAGTGCCCGTTAGACTAATAAGTTAGTTGAACAATTGAACTAAGCAGGTGGCACGGGAGCTTTGTAGGGTCTTCTGTAGCTTTTACCTCGGAGCATTTTCTCCTTCGATCTCCCTCTATCTGCAACTGCAGGTCTTTTCTTCAACTGTGTCCTTTGTTCTCTCCTTTACCCTGGACTTTCTTCCCCGTGCCTCTTGCATTGTTACTGTACTACAGTTTTCCTCATCTTAATTTGAAGCCCACCTGGGCAGACCCAAGTCATACTTCAACCAGCCTTCATGGCGGCTGCTATACTCGGAGTCGTGGAAAAGGTGGTCATCTTCCTCTATGGACTTTTCAGCCTTGGACTCTACGGACTTCGCGCGGTAAACAAAGGCTATTTCTTCAAACGCACCACAGAGAAAGAGACTCTCGAACTGCAGATTGGTGAGTAGTATCTGGAGATATCCTCATTTCAGGGAATGCTTGTCTCGTTCTATGCTCACCCGTGTGCTTCGGTTTCAATGTAGCTCGCAATCGACTCTGGGACCTCTCACAGAGTTGGGCAGGCTTTCATCACCATATCCTTACTCTGCGGAGCGGGTTCAAATTCCACTACGTTTGCAATGACGGCCCCGGACAGCAGAGCGCCACCGACCCACAGAGACCGTTGGTCGTGTTCATCCACGGTTTCCCCGACAGTTGGGCCATCTGGCGCCATCTTCTTACCTCACCTGCTCTTCAACATGCTGCGACTCTGGTTGCAGTCGACATGCCCGGCTATGGAGGCAGCGATCGGCTCGATCGATACTCGGCCACGAAGGTGCTCGAGAGCTTGACAGAGTTCGTGATTGCGATTCGGGCCAAGTACGGAGCGGACACGGAGACTGCGGTGCGGCAGCGCAAGGTTATCATTGTCGGACATGATTGGGGCTGTGTGCTCTCGACCAGACTGGCGTCTGAAGCTCCTCAATTAGCAGATCGCTTTATCCTGACCAATGGACCAATCGTACGTCTCCCGCTGGTTGTGTTGCCAATTGACCTGATCTAACAGCACATAGCCGGGTCTCGCCCGGGCTAACATTGCTCGTCAACTCTCTTCCTCGCTCAAAATGCTCAAGACAGCACTGCGCGACCCGATCCACTCCCGCGCGACGCTTTGGAAAGTGGTCCACACGCTGCAGCCCGTTGGTCGACAGTTGCTCCGCTCCGGATACATCTTTGCCATGAAACTGCCCCTGTTCCTAGTTCGGTATCTGGGCCGAGGCGGCAACTACTCGTTCCTGAAACTCATCCATCGCTCGTCGTACGGTCAACAAGAGTTCACACCTCGGGATGCCGCAGAGTGCATGGCCAGCACCGTAGGGCCGTCCGCAGCGGAATGCCAAACCCAGACCGCGGAGGGCGAATCGTATCCTGCATTCATGAAAGAAGATCGTGGGCTATTGACCTTCCAGCATATGACCGCCTACTACCGAGATAACACCGGGTTTGGACGCTGGAACAAGTCAGTCGAGACGATTACGTCGCTGCACCGCATTGAGGACGCGAACGCGGCTCACCGCACCAGCAGTGGAGCTGGTCTGTTTGACGAGGGCCCCAAGGGGTCCCTGAAAGCTAGTGCGACTGTCATTTGGGGCAAGGCCGACATGGCCTTGGAGCCCGTCTTGTGCCTGGATGGTATTGCAGACTACCTCGTGCGAGACAGCCAGGTTGTCGTCATACCGGGTCTGGGCCACTTCACCCCATTGGAGCGACAGGGCCAGCTTGCACTAGAGAAGACAGTCGAGTGGACTATGAAGGGCGAGAAGGAGGATATTGGAGCCGTTTTGCAGAAATGCTCTCCCAAGGCCGCGGTGATTGTCCGGAAATAAGCCAGGTGTATGCGGTACATATTGGAGCGGGTTCTTGATTACATTATGAGTCTCCAGCCTCCGTGGCTTATCTGTCGCTGTTGCTAGACATAGACTGGGATCAGGCTCCGGTTCACACGGTCGTAATCTATAGTCCGACTAGTTTTAGTCTGGACCTTCTTCGCATGGGTGTCTGTTCATCTTTCTATTTCTCGGGCTGGATTCGCACGAGAGAGCTTCGGGACTCAGGGGCACCTGCATAGACGAGAACAAGGTGCTGCAAGGGGGACGGAAAAGAAAGTCAATTGAGATTTGAGATTGTTCTAGATCCGTGCTACGCGAATTCTTCCCAGCGCTGACAGGAAGGACAATGAAATCTATTATTATGAAATGATTAAAGGGGCTTGGTGTCAAACTGGCTTCGTGTCAGGGCTGGGCGTGAGCGGGGGCTAGATGGCACTAGAGATCGAGATGGAGAGGGAAAGAGGGAGTAAATGAGAGTGACTCGGCCGCGTGCAGCTAAGCAGCACAGCGTAGAGCTGAGCTCTAGTGCTTGCTCTAGTATTCGAGCTGTTCCCACTTCCCACTTTCCTTCCCGCCCCATCTCTTCCATCTCCAACTTTTCCCGACTGTTTCGTTTCTCTTCCTTTTCCCAGCTTTAATTAGTTAGTTAGTCAATTGACCTCGAACCACAAAAGCTCGAGCCACACGATCGCTTGTTACTTCAGTTATCAGTCACTCGTTCCATTCAACTCAATCGCTACGTATTCTTCCTTCACTTTCTTCAGATGGCGTGGTGGTAGAGCTGTTCCGAGTCCCGCACACGGCATGCCAATTGGGGAACCTGTCTGGTCTTCGTCTATGCGGGCGGGCGGGGTTGGTTTCTTTGGCTCCTAACGTCAATCTTTCGAGTGAGGGGGATCCTCGTTCTCCTCCGCAGCAGCACCACCACTACCAGCACGTCCTACCAAGCACCTCGTGCCCCAAGCTTCTTTTTCTTTTTCTTTTTTTGTCCTTCTTCTTCCCACTTCATACCTTCCTTTGCTTTGTGTCCTGTCATTTTCATCGCCATAATCCTCTCATAGCTGGTCTACTTTCCGCTTTGCGCGGCGTCGACCACTAGCCGCAATGGCGCTCGCCGAAAGCGTTGTGTATTGCACGGTACGTATGATGTTCCCATGTTTCCCCCGTCCCTTTTCGTCGGCCGGTTACTGATCATCCGTCCCAAACTGTAGCTCCTGCTGAGTGATCATTATCTACCGGGTATTCCAATGGCGCCTTTCTTACCAATTCACTGTCGGGATTGTTGTCGCTGATAGTTCGATCTTCCTTTCCTGTAGGTGCCGTGGTACTTGCACACTCCTTGCGCGACAATGGGTCGAAAGCCAAGCTGGTCGCTCTCTACACGCCCGAGAGCTTACGGCCCGCCACCGTTCAGGAACTCGAGGTATGCGGTCTCCAACTTCCTCTTTCTTTTTGGCCTTTTGCATACAAAGGTCGTCCATACGTTTCGTATGGACCGCTGCTAATAGAGCTCCCGTCTAGATCGTATACGATGAGCTAATTCCCGTGAACCCGCTGACGAATTTGACCCCGGCGAATCTTTGGCTTATGGACCGGCCGGACTTAATCGCCACCTTCACCAAGATCGAGCTATGGCGCCAAACACAGTTCAAGCGCATCATTTATCTCGATTGCGATATTGTCGCAATCAGAGCGCCCGATGAGCTCCTGGAGCTGGAAGTCGATTTCGCGGCCGCTCCCGATGTGGGCTGGCCCGATTGTTTCAACAGTGGTGTCATGGTGCTTCGTCCCAATCTGCAGGACTATTTTGCGCTGAGGGCGCTGGCGGAGCGAGGCATCAGTTTCGACGGCGCCGACCAAGGGCTGCTGAACATGCACTTCCGCGATTGGCATCGGCTGAGCTTTACGTATAACTGCACTCCAAGCGCCAATTACCAGTACATCCCCGCCTACAATCATTTCCAAAGTACTATCAGCATGATTCATTTCATTGGTGCTCAGAAACCGTGGAATATGGGCCGGCAGGTTCAGCCCATTGACTCTCCGTACAACAGATTGCTCGGACGTTGGTGGGCTGTGTATGATAGTCACTACCGTCCTGTCGTGAGCGTAAGTTCCGGAGCAATGCTGTGCACCTGAGGTTTTCATGACTAACGGCGGCACAGATACCTGTTGATGTGACTGGCAAAAAGTTACTAGCTCGGCAGACACAATCGGAAGGCTTCACGGGATTAACACATGGCCAGCAGTATGCGCATGCTCGCGAAGGCCCAGCTACAGTTGCACCTTTCGATGTGCGGTTAGCACACCCACAAGAATCCTTAGAGCCACCTCCGGCCCCTTGGCAACAAGCAGCGCCAGCTCATTCGACTGGTTCGGTACCTGAGTATCGACCCCATGGCGCTTCAGAGGTGTCTGATGCCCATGTTCCACACCAGGGACCGAGTGAATCCGCTGAAGGAGGAATTCCCCTAGAAGGTTCATCGTCGGGCCAGGAACAACGGGCAGCAGGACAGCACGAAGAATCACATCCTGAGATACCACACCATGAGCTGGAACAACATGATATAGTATATCACGGAACATCCCACCAAACTGAAGTCCATCGCGAGCCAGGATACCAAAGTGTACATGGTACAGCAAAGGAAAAAGCACATCAAGGCGACGGGCGTCATGGAGAAGTGCACCAAGGTGAAGCACCTTATACTCAGATACATCATTGGGGTTCCAAACATGAGGCCAGACACCACGAGGCGGAACATCAGGAGAGCCACGTGCACGTCCCACCTCCTTTCCGGAGCGCCGTCCCACAATATGTCCGTGGAGAAGAGCATGTGGCGGCGTATATCCACCCGCACTCCAGTCAAACCTCTTTCCATGTTCAGTTTGAGCCAACTACCCATGGCCAAGGGGGCAGTTCATCAGGAGCCCCGTCAAGGCCGTTACAGGACGAACCCCACCAGTATCAGCAACCAGCGGAACTTATTCCTCAACAGCAACACGCGCCAATGTCGCCAAAGCCGGAAGTACAAACTCCCTTTGACCCCCCGAAGGCCGAATGGGATGCGTCGAAGTACGTTATATTTGACGAGCATTGCTGAGCGCTATCACTGACAATTCCTAGGGAACCACCACCGTTGAACACCAAACCGGAGGGATTCGCTTTGACAACAAAGACATACACCATGTCAGATGACCAGCAGCTCTTCCAACCACCACCATCCTACCCGGAAGCGCCCAAAAATATGTACTACGAAGTCCCTAGTACCAAGCCTGAACCAGAAAAGCTCGCACAGCTGTTCCCCTGGGAAAGCAATGCGCCTAGGCCGACCCGTGTATTTCCCGAAGACGACGAAGGCCCAGTGATAGCGATTCCACAGGCTTTTCTAGAGTCGACGGGGAGGGAGCTCGGGCCTTTAGCGCCGTCGCGGGATACTTCTTGGACTTGGAAGCCTGAGGAGCCGGCTGAGTCGTGGGAACAGTACACTCGCTCAAATGCTTGGGACGCAGTCCCAGAAATTCAACGCTATATATCTTCTATGCAGCAGGCTCGCAAAGCCCCGGTTCAGGTCCTTACTGGAGGCCCGTCGAACACGGAAGCAAGAGATGTACTAGTCACAGACTTTCCTAGCGAGCAGGAACGGCCGAGTCTGCCCGTTACCCCGGCGCCTATTCGTCGGCGACCTGGGGAACGGTCTTCCTCCGATAACGACCTACTACCCTCGGCGCAAGGGGTGCCAAGCCAGGAGGACTGGGTGGGTATTACGGTCGATGCCTTTCTACAACTCCTTCGAGTGACGTACTTATATTGGGAATTCACAGAACCCTTCAGCCGGCCTCGAAGAGCTTCGAATGCGTCGGTCCGAAGTCGTGGATCATTCAGATATACTTTCCGAACGGATATTGAGCAGCAGTTCGATTATTTCGGATCGAGTGCATCCCGGCGAACGAACTAATGACTGATTAATCGGTTTCTTCTGAGCATTGTTTCCAGCAATTACTGATCATAGTTTAGCCTTTTTGTAGTTTCGCTCTTTTCCTCACTGTTCCATTGTTGTTCTACTACTCCATCGTCGTCACTTTGCAGTTTGCATTGTTCCTCTGTGACTATTATTGTTACGCTTTGGCATTTGTACAGTACCCCGCGTGATATTATGCATATGCATTGATAGCAGTGTACGTTCTTCAGCAGGTGTAAAGTCTCAGATTGTCACATGCTCTTGCATGAGGAGTTAGTTTTGTGCTTATTGCTACTTAGCATTGATGCAAACCAATATGTACTTCCCTGCTATCGATTGTTCTTGACTCAGGCGTATTCAGATCAGTGGAGCCAGGCTCTACAATATCGGCTTGTCTGACTCTTTAGATAAAAAGTAATCTTGGACTTTAGTGTTGTATGATATGTCGGAAACAAGAGAACTGGCCGACAAGCGGTAATTGATGCCTTTGATGCCTGAGGCTTCAACCCTCCATGTGACGCCCCAGCGGACGAATGAAGTGGCGGGCACAATTTCAAAGATTGTATCTCCACCACCGTCGGACTCTGCGACTGACGTACCAACCACAACCTCTTGCACCAAGATTTTTCCTTTTGCCATTCCCTCTCTTTTTCACCACACCCACTGCCAATTAGCGGTCGATTCGCCAGGCGTTTGTACCGGAGAAACACCCATTCAAAAGCATAGACCTTTATTTCCTCTCAATTCCATAACCACATTTTCTTATTGTTACCGCATAAACGAGGGGTTGAAACTCGTAACCAACCGCCAAAATGTCGACCACCGTGGAAAAGGTAGGATGCAACACACACACATCCCCACCCGCCGTCATTATCTATTTGCTCCAATACCAGATCTGCTAACGTGCGAGAAACTCTTATTTGTAGATCAAACAAATCGAAGATGAGGTTCGTTGTTGCGCCGATTGAATTGCCTGCCTGCCCGCTCGACGACGACGACGACAAATCGCCGCGCCAGGACGTTTTGCCGTGCCGTGCCCACTGACCGATTCTACTACGCAGATGGCCAAGACGCAGAAGAATAAGGCTACGGCCTTTCACTTGGGTATGCGATGCGAATAATTCGGTGGTTCCCGACGCAACGGGGATCTCTGAAAGAGAGGACGCGCGCTGACGAGTTGGTTTGTGCAGGACAGCTGAAGGCTAAGCTTGCGAAGCTGAAGCGTGAGCTGTTGACTCCGACTGGAGGTGGTGGTGGTGGCGGTGGTGGTAAGTTGCGATGCGATGCGATCTTTGTGGGTGCAAGGTTTGTGGGTTGCTGACGTCGGATGGCCTGCAGCTGGTTTCGATGTTGCTCGTACTGGTGTTGCTAGTGTGTATGTTGATCTTTTTGTCCCAAAATATATCGGGGTTGCGGGTTGGGTTGCTGATTTGCGTTGCATAGTGGCTTCATTGGTTTCCCGTCTGTCGGAAAGAGTACGCTCATGAGCAAGTTAACGGGACAGCATTCGGAAGGTTGGTCTCTTTTTCAGCTGCCCTTGAAGGGCGCGTTGGGCCTGGGGTACCTGATCGCTGATGATAACTCCTTGTATAGCTGCCGCTTACGAGTTCACGACTTTGACGACTGTGCCGGGTCAGGTCATGTACAACGGTGCGAAGATTCAGATCCTCGATTTGCCCGGTATTATTCAGGGTGCCAAGGATGGTAAGGGTCGTGGTCGTCAGGTCATTGCTGTGGCGAAGACTTGCCATCTGATTTTCATCGTGCTGGATGTCAACAAGCCGCTGCATGACAAGAAGATCATCGAGAACGAATTGGAGGGCTTCGGTATTCGAATCAACAAGCAGCCCCCAAACATTGTCTTCAAGAAGAAGGACAAGGGTGGTATTGCCATCACCAGCACGGTTCCCTTGACACATATCGATAACGATGTAAGTTCTTTTGCTGGCCGGTTGTTTTCGGTTATAATGCAATTGCTGATGCCAGCGCAGGAAATCAAAGCTGTCATGAGCGAGTACAAGATCTCCTCCGCGGATATTTCCATCAGATGCGACGCGACCATCGATGACCTCATCGACGTGCTCGAAGCCAAGAGCCGAGCCTACATTCCGGTCGTGTATGCCCTGAACAAGATCGACGCCATTACGATTCAGGAACTGGACCTGCTGTACCGGATTCCCAACGCCTGTCCCATCAGTTCTGAACACGGCTGGAACATTGATGAGTTGCTGGAGATGATGTGGGAGAAACTCAACCTGCGCCGAATCTACACCAAGCCCAAGGGCAAGACTCCGGATTATACGGCCCCTGTCGTGTTGAGAGCCAACGCCTGCACGGTCGAGGACTTCGTAAGGATTCCTGCAACAAGCACACTTTCTCGAGGACATTGGGTGGTCTAACGTGCACGCAGTGTAATTCGATTCACCGCACGATTAAGGAACAATTCAAGCACGCTATCGTCTACGGCCGCTCCGTCAAGCACCAACCGCAGCGTGTCGGTCTGTCACACGAGCTGGCAGATGAAGATATCGGTCCGTGCTTTCTCCCCCTCTACGTTCAGCTCATTCTTGATATTAGGATCTCCAGAGCTAACTTTAGTGGCTACACAACAGTCTCGATTGTCAAGCGGTAATCGAATCCGAACGCGAATCCAACCCTCCTGAAAAGGATCCGGCCCCTCGAGCGGAGCAACGCAAGTGGCGAATCGCACACTCGGGAATGATGGATAAATTCGGCTGTGTATTAAGGGGAGAGGAGAAAGAGGTGGGGGGAGCTTTTTTATTCGGTTCTCCGTTTAAGTATCAAGCCCCCCCAAGGAAGAGCCCGGCCCTTGTGACAGATTTTCGCGAGATGGACCATAGGAGTTGTGATTGGAGGGAGGGAAGAACGACGGATTGCGCACGGGGCAGCATTGGAGAGAGTGTCTGCCATACGCCGCCTTGGGGGTGGTGCGCGATCTACTCGTGCGAGAAGAGAACTGCCTGGACCCAGAGTCAGGTTGAAAGTATTTTCGTCCTGATGTCCTGATGGGTATCTATGCGCGATCCTACTTCGGGAAGGCGAATGTTCTGAGCGACTCGTCGACCGCTTAATTGAGGGTCGGATGGATACAGATATCTGAGACTGGACATCAGCTGGAATTTCTTTTAGGGGGGTTTTTTCTTTCTCATATCTTGGGGATCAGCAAGTACTTAGGACCTGCCGATATATATTATCATTTCCTTCTTCGTTCTTGACACTTTCTTCCTGCTCCTCTCGAGAAGTATGGCTTTGTTATTGCTTCCCCTTTCTCTTTCGTCCTATCTGTGAGGAATGTAATGTTCCGTTCAACGACGGACATTGGTTCTGGTTTCCCGAGCCTGAGGACGATTCACGGCCTGTAGATGCGAGACCCGATCCAAACTGGAGTCAGATAGGAATAACTATAAGGAGAAAATGAGCCCAGACCCCTCCGCAAATGAGCATCACAATCAATAAAAATGATTATAATAATAGTAATAATAAAAAGGAGAGAGTCATTAAACTAACTAGATAGTCCAAGAGCAAGTTACCCAGTCTAGCTAGACTCCCTACTACTACTACCTATTAGCTAGGCTACTTGGTCGTAACTAAAGCTGAACTAGCCGAGCTAGTGAATATGACGCACGTCCGTCCGTGTCTAATGAATCTTCCAATGAATGAGCAGTTTCTTTTCGTTAGACTCTCCTCTGTGGAATAGGTAATTTCAATTAGATTTCAGTGCGCTATGACAAGGCGATGGACGGACGCTATTGTTGCGCTCGCTCAGTCAGGTGTTGATCACTCCTTCCTACTCCGAGGGCAGAATCGTTAGTGGTGGTGGTGATCACAGCACGGATGATCTTACCTACCTACCTACCTATCTACAACTAGTAAGTGGGGTGGGGAGGCTTTTAGGTATGATGCGTCAGGGGCTGTAATGGGCTAGGTGCACTGGTGGTAGAGCACGAGGTGGATGTTGCTCTCATGGCATGGCTTGGACCGTACGTATACTTTCGATCTTCTTGCTCTGGTGCCTGGCAGATACATATCTATAGTCTGGATTCCGAGGATCGGTCTTTCATTGCTGGTAGTATCTTTCGTGCTGTACTGGAGAACATCGGGTTAAGCATTTGTCTCTTACGCTTCATAATATCGGAGGAGCCCCGGGAGGAGGGGATAGTGTGGAATTCATCCATAGCTTGCTTCGCCCTCCCCCATCTATTCCTTTTCCCTGAACTGATGACGATGGCTTATTTCGATTTTTCGTTACTTAAGTAATCGAGAATACTTGGGATTCGGAGTGGGTTCCTTTTTTGCTTCGCGTCGTGCGGCCAGGTCCGAAAATAAGATTGGCGAATTATTGGGTTGATGGGTCGATTTCACTAAAGCAATCAGTCAATCAATCAATCAATCAATCAATGTGTCTGAAATGATTTAGAGTGGCTGTGGATAGGTTGTTTGTTTGCTGGGCCTACTCACCACGGAGTACACTGCTGGGATCTGATACTGCATTCAACCATGTGGTTAGTTGGGTTGGTATGGTATTTACCGGAGTCTAGTATTGTTTTGTAACCCAGGGTTTCAAGAGATACCGGTGGTACTCCGTACAGCATGTATGGATGTATGGATGTATGGATGTAGTTCAACATGGGTTCAACGGGTTGGGTCGGGTTGGCCTTGTAAGGTCGGTGTGAAGGGCGCTTTCGGAACTGTATATCATAGGATAGAAGCTAGTAGGTGCCAGTGGGCAGTTGCTTTCAATGAGGGTTGCGGCGTTGTAGTACAACAACCTCTTTAAGGGTTGGGCTTGGTTCATGCTGTATGCTGGTGGTCGTGTGGTTACTTTGGTGGTTGTTTATGGTTTGCTGGGATTGGATTTAAATAGTTCTGTACGGAGTACTGTACATCGTGATCCATTATTGGGGTTATGTATGGTTCTTGCCGGGTGATGGGACTGCTCTAATTGTGGGAAGGCAGGGTCGTACTTGGAACGTACAGAGATGAGAGTTATGGTGCTGGAGATGGTTGAGATGGTATCATCCTGATCGTGGGTAAATAGGATGGGCAGAGTTGTAGTTGACAAGAGAATGACGAACCGTGAGGGTTTGGCTCGGATGCTTCGTGACTGACGACCGACTGCTACTACTACCCTATGAAGCTACAGTGTGGAATTGTAAACCAATCTAGGCATGAGTACTCCGTACTCCGTACCCAAGTACTATTTCACTTGGTTCGAGCCTAGGCGCTTTTGGACACGCCTCGAGCAATGCAATGATGATGATGATGATGATGATGATGATGATGATGATGATGATGATGCAAGATATAGA